TATGCTCCAAGATCCTAGAGCTTTTTCAGGTGAGGGCCTATGCATGTCTCTTTTAACTTGAGGCACGTATGTATTGATAGCAGATATTATGGGTAGATGCAAGTCAGATGCAAATGAGACAACTAGCATTGTATCAGCCCCATAGCCTCACTTGTATGATACTTAAACGAAAGGTTATCGCATTGCGGGCTCAATTGTAATAACAATTATTATCGTAATATTTAAAAAAATGGGTCGAAAAATCGAAGATGTAAAAAGGGATAAGTTTAGAAAAGTATTGATAGTCAGAGGTAACCATAGCAAACGCATGCTCAGTGCCCTGTAACTCTTACTGCGCATGTTTGATAATATAATTTTGCAAGTGTGCGCAAGTGTGCGCGAGCATCTAATACACATAAACTTGTAAGCTAGAAATGTGCCGCCCTTTACTTATGGGACATTGCGTRACGGAAAAGTGCAAATATGCGCACGCATTTAATATGTATTCATCGTAGACATGAGCAAGCTGTGCATAGTACTAATGAAACGGTTGCGTGACGGAAGTAGGTTATAATGTTGAATTTCCTTTTTATTCACAGTCAGCATATCCAGTGCGCGTAAAGAAAACATACATCGTCTCTCCACCTTTCTGGTTTGAGCCTGAAATGCGGCTGTTTTCCGCTTCGTTTCGTGACCCCAAGAAGCGTAAGAACATTAACATTGTCACGCAATCAAGACTTAASAATCATCTCCCTGTCACTTGTATCCCAAGAGGCCTTGGAGGAGAGTGTCAGGCTAATCCAATGAGATTAATTGAGCTATGTGTTTCATCACATAAGGATCGTCTGGGCTTGACAGAAAGCAAAGCTGAACGTTCAACTGATGGCAATGGACCGGACACAGTGCCACGTGATCAAACTGGAATGAATGTTGACGGTGAAGGGCAAGACAGTCGTTGAAAATAATGCTGAAAGCCTTATTGCTAGTTTTTATTTGCATTGGATRTTTTGCTTTTGATATTTTTATACAGTTATGTAAGAACAGTAAAACCAGTAAAACAATATTTTATACTTAGAGTGTGTGGAGTTTATGAGCTGTTYGAAAAACTAATAACGGGAATATATCTGTAAACCAGTCATGTTTTTTTTTATTTAGGGAGCATTCATATTTTTAAGGACGGGGGGTGTGCTGGAGGAATCCAGGGGAGGGCCATTTAAATAGAGGATATTACATGGGCGCGCAGAGATACGAAATTTATATTCGAGTGTTGAACTCACAAGTGAGAGATTTTCAAGAAGAGAAGATAAAATTGGTATCTCCAAGCGCCCATGTAATATTATGTTTATTATATAATTATCCAAAAAATCAACTTAATAATCTTTTTTATTATTATAACTAACTAACTAATGGATTAAATACGCAAGGTAACGATATTTTAAAATATCAGTTTTTCGAAAAGGGGAAATATAGGTATTTTATGGATAATTATATGATAATATTGAATATTTCATACTACGTCATAAAGGGAAGGGGACAATAATTCAACAAATTTCAAGGGAGGGTCACCTTTTTATGCAGACAGAAGAAAGGGAGGGTCTAAAGATTTTAGCGGAGCTCCCGCGAGTTTATTTTTCATGGCTTGGCTGACGTCACTTCCGTCCG